AGGAGAAAAGGGAATATGTTCTAAAGAAGAGAACGAGATAAATCTTCAGAAACTGATCTTAATGAAATGTAAATAAGTGAGCGTGTAGAGAGAAATGATCCTTGGTTCACTATTGGAGGGATTGCAGCTACTATAGAAAACAGAATGGAGGTTCCCAAAGAAATAACAGAACTATCGTACCATTCAGTAATCCCACTTCTGGGTGTATATCTAAAGGAAAGAAAATCAAAATCTTGAAGAGATAGCTATACTCCCATGTTCATTGCAGCAGCATTTATGATAGCCAAGGTCTGAAAGCAACGTCAGGATGAATGGAGAAAGAAAATGTGATACATGTCACATGTTTACACACACACACACACGTATTTCCCAGGTAACTCACTGGTAAAGAATCTGCCTGCCAGTGCAGGAGACACAAGAGAATTCGGGTTCAATCCCAGGGTTGGGAAGATCCCCTGGAGAAGGAAATGGCAGCCCACTCCAATATTCTTGCCTGGAAAATTCCATGGACAGAGGAGCCTGGTGGGCTACACAGTCCATGGGGTCACAAAGAGTCGGACACGACTGAGCACGCACGCAGACTTGACACATACACATATGCATGTGTATGTTATTCAACCTTAAAGAAAAGGCAGTTCTGTCACTTGTGCAACAGTATGGATGAACATGGAGGGTATTATTCTAAGAGAAATAAGCCAGATAAAGATGGATAAAGTGCTTGGTGTCACTTATATGGGGAATTAAAAAGCAAAGAAGTTGAACTCATAGAAAGTGAGAGAAGGGTGGTGAGTGCTGTGAGCTGAGGGCTGGGGGAAATGGGGAGAGGCACGTGGAAGGGTACAGCCTTCAGTTACAAGATGGGTAAGATCTGAGGATCTAATGTACATATTGGGTTGGCTAAAAAGAGCATTCAAGTCTTTTTACCATCCTACAGAGAAACCAGAACACACTTTTTGGCCAACCCAATATAACACGGTGACTAATTAATATTACTGTATTTTATAATTGAAGCTTGCTAAGAGAGTAAAGTTTGTGTTTTCTCTTCCCCACCCCCCAGCAATAAATGGTAAATATGTAAGGTGATGTGTATGTAATTAGAGAAGAAAGACTAGGTTTTACCTTAGAAAGACTGCAAAATTCGACACTCACTCAGCATGCCACTATGGCAGATGCTGTGGGGAATGGCAGGAGGAGCATTCGCTCAGGTCTGTGCCCTGGAGTCCTGTGTGTTTGAGGGACGTGTGGGGCCTGCTGGTGGGGTGGGGTCGTCGGGATGTCCAGCTGTCCAGCCTCCCCCTGGGGATCAGTAGTGAGGGGGGAGCCAGGTATGCACAGAGTTCTTATGTGCCTCCTGGGAGTTGAGGGCACCTTTATGGGTTGTTTCCTTTCTGTTTGAAGTAGGATGTAGGTTTAAATGTTTTAAATACTGGCTTTGAGATAGAATTCACCCATTTTAAGTGTACAGTTCAGTGACTTTTTTTTAGTGTATTCACAAAACGGTTCAACCTTTACCACAATTTTGGAATGTTTTCTTCATAACAAGAAATCTCACACCTGTTAGCAGGCCCTCCCTGTTTCTTCCCACCTCCCACATTGGCCCTGGCAACCGCTCATCTACCTTCTGTCTCTGTGGATTTGCCCGTTCTGAATACTTTATATAAACAGAATCTTACAGGGACTTCCCCGGTGATGCAGTGGTTGACTTAGCACTCCCATTGCATGGGGGGCATGGGTTAGANTTAAAAAAAAAAACCTTTTTAAAAAAAAAGCGTCACCCAGCCTGTTTTTGTTCTGCTATCCCGTATACGTGGCCCATGTAATGCGGTTTTTGAACCTTCCCTCCTAGGTTTTCTACTGGACACTTAATGTTTTAAAGAGGGTGAATTGATCTTATGCTAATTGGTTAAATATCAGTCCACATAATAAAAGTACTTATTTAGTGCTCCTTCTAAAGCAGGGTTCAGGGGATATTTTCTGCAAACATCTACTTAGTGACTGTTCTAGGCTTTGGGGGCCCTTGGAGTTTCTGTTTGCAGCTACTCAGCTCTGCTGCTGTAGCATGAAGGTAGCCACAGACCAGGTGTGAACAAACGGGCGTGACTGTGTTCCAGTAAAACTTGATTGACAGCATAGGCACCTGGCCTGCCGGCTGTAGTTTGGCCAGTGGACTGGCAGTTAAGTGGGCAGAAAGAAAAGTTGCTTGGCATTATTGCTTTTTATAAGCATAAATGTCTGCTCGCTGAGAGAAGAATACTTAAAAGCGTCCCAGGGTAAGTACTGACACCTAAGATTCTCACCAGAAGACAGCCCAAGATAACGAAGCTGGCCAAGGCTAGCCAAGCAAAGCCTGGATGGGAGGCCAGCCAGCACGAGGACCACAAACAGACCGAGCCGCAGTCGTGAAGTGGCAGCCAGTGAGCAGTGAAGCAGGACTGCCCGCTGGCTTTAAGGAAGGGAGGCGCGCTTGTCATTGTCAAGGAACAAAATTAGGTGACTCCTGCCCCCCACGCTAATTAAGGCCTTCCGCACCAAAATGGGCTTTAGTTACGATGAACAGTTCTTGTTTTTACCTAAAAAGCTCCAATTTATCCTGCAGTCTTTAAACAAAGAAAAAATTATATTTATAGACATCTGTTGCCTTTTTATCCCCCTTTTTTATCTTTTCACATATTTGGCAGTACAGAAAAAGTTTATCAGAATTGAGGATTGAGTATTTAAAACCTGAGGTGCTTTGCTCTGTGTCCTCAGCATGGTAGCTGTCTATTGTGTTTTCTCGCTAGACTGAGTAGGTGCTGGTACAGAGTTTAAGGCCGCTGGTACCCTGAGACTTTGCTTCTAAGTTATATTAACATTTGATTTTAGCTGGAGCAATAGCATTGGAGCTAAGAGGTACCTGTGTGTGTGTTACAGTTTGTTTAAATTTTGTTTCAGGAGGAAATGAGAATGTTTAGAATTCGAGTCCAAGAAGTGGTAAAAGAAAACGAGAAACTGCATCAAGAGCTGAATAAGAGTAGTCCTGTCACCAGTGAAGAATGGCACGTGGTGGTGTTTCTGGTATTTTGCTAATTAAAAGAAGAAACGATGATAGGAATAAAGTTTATTAAGTTGTCAAATATATATGTAAATTTTAACTTACATATTTCATCTAAAACATTTAATTTCTCAGAAATTAATAAGGTACAGCTGAAAACCTAGAAAATTATTCTAAACTTGTATTTTAAAGGTTGCTTTCAAAATTCTAAGTAGGTTGTTAAACCTGAAAAATGTTGGTTGTCCACATTTTTATCCTCTGAGGTTGTGTTTTTTAAATTTTTTTAAATTCTGCTGCACCAGTAGTTAGTTGGAGGACATGAGATCTTCAGTCTTCATTGAGCCATGTCGGGTCTTTAGTTGTGGCATGCGAACTGTAGTTATGGCATGCGGGATCTAGTTCCCTACCCAGGGATTGAACCCGCACTCCCTACTTTGGGAGCACGGAGTCTTAGCCAGTGGACCATGAGGTGGTATTTTTCTAGGGTACTTTTCCTGTCCCCAGACTGCCGAGCCGAGTCCTTTCTTAGACCCCTCTGATGGCTTGCAGGGCTTTAGGACAGACAGTCTAGGCTGGGGCCTTGCACTCCCAGATCCCACCGGCCCTGCGCCTTCCATAGCTGACCACTGCTGTCCTGTTGCTCACGTTCTCCGCTCCCCCCAGCAGACCGCCCCCTTCTGCGCTCCTGCCCACTCGTCCGGCCCGGCTCAAGTGGTGCTGATAGGTAGCTCTCCCCTGAAGGCGCTCCCCCTAAACGCATGCTCTGTCCTGGGACCAGCCGCACTGTGCCTCCCTGTGTGTGTCCTTCTCCTTCGTGAGCTTCTCAGGGCAGGGCCAGGTCCTGTTCACCGAGCTCAGCAACAGATGCCTCGTCAGCACATCTGAGAAAGTAAATGTCTTCAAACGTCTAAAGGCAATACCCAAGCAGGACCAAGCAAGCAGAAACTATTCAGATAGATCTTTTTTGCCTTGGGTAGGTATGTTATATTTAGCTTTTTTTTTTTAATGTCTTAACATCCCTGAAAAATTAAATATTTTCTATATGTGATGACTAGAAATTTGGAATCCAGTCCATAGCATTCTTACCTTTAGGTGGGTTCTCTCTTTATGGTCACTGCTATGTCGACTGGGACTGGTTGGACAGCTACTGGATCCTGCCTAGTGTATTGTGACTTCCGCTGGTGAACTTGGATTTTTTTCTGTCAGCGTTTCAGGCTCCTAGTGTGTCTCCCCTCGAACCCTCCTTGAATAGTGCCCTGGAAAGCAGGTCTTTTGGGCTGCTTCCAGGAGTCTCACAAGAACCCAGACCCTCAGATTCTTTCTCCATCCTTCTATATGGCTTCAAGTCAGACCTGTTTGCTTCTTAAAATGTAAATAAATAAATAAAGGCAGGCTCCACTTTGAAATCCGCGTGCCCACCGTGTTCCCCAGTCCTGTTCATAAGAGTTTGAAATTTGCATCCTGCTCTAGGGTGGTGGCCTCTGCCACAGGGTGGAGGTGAGTGGGTGCTGCTAGGTCTGAGCAGGGCCTGTTGAAGCCCCCGGCCAGCCCCCACCCCATACTCTGAATTCACTGTCTTCCTGCGAGAGTCTGGGGAGGGCTCCCAGGGCTTCGGGGCACTCTGTAGGCAGAGCTCCTGCCACCTCCAAACCCCCGCCCTGCCGTGCCCTGGTCTGCCCCCCTTGGCAGCTGCTCCCTGCCCCCTGCACTCCGCTGACTGCAACTGGAGAAAAGGTTGCACAGCAAGGAAGACCCAGCACAACCGGAGATAAACAAACAAAGGCAGTTGTTTTTAAAACAAAACAAGAAGTTACCAAAGCAGTTTAATATCAAGCCTCTGTCTGTCTTTTCCCCCAATTTGATGGAAATTAAAAACTGGCTGTGTTAATAACATGTTTAGTACTATAATATGTCCAGATATTCATTGCCTACAGCCCAGCAGTTGCTTTCGTTTAGACTCAGGAGTGTCTCCATAGGCATTCTGCACCTGAAGGGCAGTATTTAATTTTGTAAATCAATTGTAGGCGGCAGCTTCAGACTCAAGCCGAACTGGTTTTAGAAGAAAACAAGTTGTTGATCGAGCAGTTGGAGATTCAGCAAAGAAAAGCCAAGGACACCCACCAGGAGCGTCTCCAGGAAGGTGAGCAGTCTTTCCCGAAAGCAAGCGATGGTGATGCTGTGACATTGTCATTTTGTCATTTTACAATGGCATTCCCCCCTCCCCCACTTGAAAATGGTGGGAAGTCATGTTTTTTAGAATATATTCTTTTTTTACTGAAATCCAGCTGTTACAGCATATCCAGTCATCACCCATGATGCAGTGACCGCTTTCTCAGGAGTCTGTAATTATTCTGTCTTTTGTAAATCAGTTATAAATAACAACTTTAGAGTCAACAGAACTGGGTTTGGAGGGAACAGTGTGCAACATAAGCAGGAAAATTCATGTGAGATGGATATTTGAAAGAACCTATGGATGTATCCCCCAGAATTTGTTGAATGAGTAAATAAGTAGGAACCATTGGCTCTCCCAACAGTTTCTCTGTGCTCTCAGCCTTCCTGCAGTGTCGCAGGTGCTGCTGTAGATTAAATCTCCGTCAGATCCTTTCCTCCTCTCCCCATGTGTCCCATCCTGTCCCGGGGGACTAAGTTCTACTTCTCTAAGTACTAGCTTCAGATGCCCAGGACACGTCTTAATATTACATGCTTCCATGTCACTTAGGATGAAAATAGTTATGATTTACTTTAAATATAGGACAGTAAACAAAAAAATCAATGAGGGAAGAGAAGAAAAACAAATCTGTCCTTAGTTGGGTCATACTAAAAATATCCTTAAAAATCTTGCAGTTTTAGAGTCAACATCATGACGTATCTTTGCACATCTGTGTGTGACTTAAGGCTTCAGTCTTTGAAAGGTAAGGGCCTTGAAGCCTGGAATCATGTCCTGTTAAGTATTTTGTATTTAACAATAATATCAATATATTGATCTCCAGTAAGAAAGTGTATGTTTAGTGATTACTTAATATAGGGACCATAATTTCTATGAACAAAGACTTGATATTAATTTTGAAGTCTCCAGTAGATTTTTTAAAGATCCATTTTTGTAAGCTCTCACTAGTATTAGTAATCTGTAATCATGCTTTATTGAGTCTTTTGTACCAAGTCTTTATCCATCTCTTTTGTGTTTCAGTTTCTAAACTGACTAAACAGCTAGTGCTTCTAGAGACTAAAACACAGAGCCAAGAGAAGGAGCTAACTGAAAGTAAGGAGCAATTAGCAGTTTTACGTACGGAGTGCCAGGAGCTAAAAATACAGTTGGACAGCAAAGTTGCAATGGATGTTCACACTTCAATTGTGAATGAGTTTAAAAGGTAAGGATTTAATATCTTTTGAAGTATTAATGCATCACCGTGCATGTGTTACAGGCAGGTGGAGAGAGAGCACTCCCATCTTTTTCTACATCATTTCACTGTACCAGACGTGGTGTCCAAGACTGAGAGTGGTAAATGTTTTATTAAAGTGGAACCTGGCCATCCTTGGGGGCTGCAGTCTGCACTTTATCTGTGTGTATGTGTGTGTATATACATACACACACACACACGCACACATATATATATGTATGTATTTTTACCCCCCTACACTTCCAACCTCTCTCATGCGCGCTTTTTTTTTTTAAAGATTTATTTATTTTTTGCTTCTCTGGGTCTTTGTTGCTGCCAGGCTTTCTGTAGTTGTGACGAGTGGGGGCTACTCTTCATTGCAATGCGTGGACTTCTCATTGCGGTGATTTCTCATGTGGAGCACAGGCTCTAGAGTGCTCAAGCTCAGTAGTTGCAGCTCACAGGCTTAGTTGCTCCATGGCATGTGGGATCTTCCCAGACCAGGGATCAAACCCGTGTCCCCTGCGTTGGCAGACAGATTCTTAACCACTAGACCACCAGGGAATCCCCTCTCATTTTTAGAACCAAAGATAATTTAAAGAAATATAAGTGGAGATCTAGACATCCACTAATGAGGAATTGCTGAAATGAAAGGATAGAACCATAAAATGAAATATGGTGCAGCCATTAAGTCACAAAAGAATGTTTTTGACTTTGGAAGATAGCCACAGTGTATTTGTAAGTGAAGAGATTAGGTTACATAATAGTACGTACAGAATGATTACAGTTTTATTTAAAAAGAAAAAAAATGTGTGTCGTGTGTGTGTGTGATTAAGCTGGCCCACCATCCCAGTTTGTCTTGGACCTGAGGGGTTTCTTCAGGATGTAAGAATCTTCATGTTAACGGAGACGAATAGGATGCGTTGATCACTTCCATGTGTATATGTCTGTCTGTGTCTGTCTGTGTATAATTACATATATGTGTGTAAAATTACTTACATACCATAAATATGTAGAAAATGAAAGGATGGAAAAATAACACTAGCAGTTATCTTTGGCAGGTGAAATTAGGGGTGTGTCAGCAGCCAGTGTTCTCCAAAGAAACAACCCATAGAATATATAAAAGATATGTGCGTGTGTGTGTGTATGTGTGTGTATATATATATATATATGTGTATATATATATATATATATTTGGAGAGAGAAAGAGAGACTTATTTTAAGGAATTGGCTCATACAGTTGTGGGGGCTAGCAAATCCAGACTCCATAGTGCAGGCCAGCTGGCTGGAAACTCAGACAAGAAACTGAAACTGTGTCTTGAGGCAGAATTCTTTCTTTTTGGAAAGCCTAAGTTTTTACTCATAAGGTCTTCAACTAATGGTATTAGGTAATCTCTCTTACTTAAAAGTCAGCTGATTGAGATGTTAATCACATCTACAGAATACCTTCACAGTAACGTCTAACTAGTATTTGACCGAACAGCTGGGCCCCATAGACTAGCCAAATCAACACATAAAACTAACCATCATAATGAGTAAAGTGAATTTGTGTGTGTGTGTGTGTGTGTGTGTTTTCTATTTTCCAAGTGTTGTGATGCATAGGACTTTCCAGTCAGGAAAGCTGGCGGTCAGGCCTTTACGCTACAGCAGGGAAAGCTTTGTGCTGAGAGGCCTTGGGCAGGGGATAGAGCAGGGTGGAGGTGGGGAGGGGTCCGCCTGTCGGCACTGTTGGGAAGGTTGGTGTTTGATTGGAGGGGGAGTCTGACACAGGAGAGGGGCATGGACTCATCAGAGACAGAAGGTGTGAATTCACTGAAGCCTCTGAGGCGGCAGGGCATGTGTCCTCTGCTTGCCTCAGTTGGGGGTACCCTTTCCAGGCTCCTGTCACAGTAGAGAGGGACCACAGACGAAAGAGGATCTAGTAATTAGCATCAGAGCAGCTGTCGAGCTGGCTCCTACAGTGCGGCTGAGTCTGAGGAGAAGTTGGGAAGGGTTCCGCCTGAGGCAAAGGTGAGGTCATGAAGAAAAGATTTTAATTTTTATAGAAAAGGGTTAAGTTGGACCTTGCCTGGTGAGCTTCTAGGTGCCTGTGTTGTGTTCTCCTGTCCTGCTGAAGGCAATGCAGTTCATTAACCTGAAGTGACTTGCCACATTGTCTTGCTTGTTCTACCTGTTGGCAGCCATGCCTGGAAAGAACCGTGACATGGGGAACAGCAGAAGCTTATTTTCCTGGTGAACTATCCTGTTGACTTAGAGCTAGACAGCTGGTTACACCCTGAAGCTTAGATTACTCTGTGCTTTTATTGTTGCTTACAAAGCTTGAGCCTACTCAGCAGGGGCGATGAGAAATCAGATGTCAACCCACCTGGCTAAAGAAATTCAGCAGACTCTTTGGGGGAGAGCTGAGGTTTGCGATGACTAGTGGTGTCTGTAAAAGGCAAGTCTTATAAAGGGCATAGGGGCCCTGTATCTTAAAGTGAAGTCATAACCCACCTACAGAGACAGAGTCCTGGCCAGCAGTCACAGTATTATGCCTGCTCAGGGAGGCACCAGAAGGACAATCTCCTTATATAACACATACCAAATACTCCCTTTTTCATCCTAAAATAAGAACAGACTACTAGGTGTGTTGAAGCATTGGGTATAAGAGGAAGAAATTACAGTGGAGAGAGACCTAGATAAGCAGAGAGACTCACAGCAAAGGGAACTGAGATAATACAGAGAACTGAGAGTTTTTGGCTGCATTGTGTAGCTTGTGGGATCTTAGTTCCCAGACCAGGGATTGAACCTGGGCCACAGCAGTGAAAGCCCAGAATCCCAACCACTAGGCCACCAAGGAACTCCCAAGGAGAGTTTAAAAGGATAAAATGCCATGGCAAAAAAGTGTAATCATTAAATAAGAAAAATGTTTAATGATTACCAGAATTAAAAAAAAAAAAAATCAGTAGGACTGAAAGATAAATTTGTGGATTCACTCAGAACAGCAGGAAGCAAACAGTTGGGAGTGGAGAGAAAACGTAACAGACGGAAGACCTATCTAAGAGGCCCAGCCTCAGATCATCAGGAATCTCAAAGAGATTAAAGAAAATAGAAAGGGAGGTATTAATAGTTGAAAGGCATCTCCAGATCTCTGAAGCCCTTGATTGAAATGACCCACAGAACCCAGCATGTGAGTGAAAAAGACTCAGGACAAGACACGTCCATCATCCACAAGTGAATAGTACGCTGGGACCCTAAGGGCTACGTCCCCAGGTCAGGTAAACCAGAAATAACCAGCCACCAGTCCTCTCTGAAGGAAGGCCCCTTCTAAAAATGTTTCAAGGAAGTATCCAGGACATATAGAAAGCCAGACAGACAGCGACCAGTAGAAACAATAACAAATAACAATATGAAGTCCAGGTATTAGAATTATCAAAGACTCTAAAGCAGCTATTGTGCTTTAAGAAAGAAAAGACAAGCTCCAAGTAGTCTTCAGAGAACTATAAAATGTGACGATAGTGGGATTGAAAAGGAAGGAATAGAAGTTTTAGAACTGAAAAATACAATAAATTACAAAGTCAGTGGATGGGCATACCTACAATAGGGAACTGAAATATGTTCAAGTGAAACAGCTCAGGGTGGACTTCCCTGGTGATCCAGTGGTTAAACTTCACGCCCCCAGTGCAGGGAGCCTGGGTTCGATCCCTGGTCAGGAAATTAGATCCCACATGCCTCAACAAAGAGTTTGCATGCCACAACTAAAGATCTCACATGTCACAACGAAGACCTGGCGCAGCCAAATTAATAAAAAATTAAATTGGTTTAAATCATCCAGAAAATTTTTTAAAACACTCAGGAGGACATAAGAGTGTTCAGAGGTTGAGGTACCACTAGACTGGAGACAGGAGGCAGTATGGGAGGATATATTTAATCAGAAGTAGTAGTTGGAGATAGGATATCTGAGAATCTTCCCCAACTGAAGACAATACCTGGGTTATGCCAGGATGGTTTCCTTTAGAGGACTTCAGTGGCAGCAGGTGTTAACAGGGATGTTGCACTCAGAAAAAAGTTCATTCACATCAACACATTTGGAAATTTAGATGAAATGGTCACATTCCTTGAAAAATACAAAAAAAATTAAAAGCTTTTGCACAACAAAGGAAACTATAAGCAAGGTGAAAAGACAGCCCTCAGATTGGGAGAAAATAATAGCAAACGAAGCAACAGACAAAGGATTAATCTCAAAAATATACAAGCAACTCCTCCAGCTCAACTCCAGAAAAATAAATGACCCAATCAAAAAATGGGCCAAAGAACTAAACAGACATTTCTCCAAGGAAGACATACAGATGGCTAACAAACACATGAAAAGATGCTCAACATCACTCATTATCAGAGAAATGCAAATCAAAACCACAATGAGGTACCATTACACGCCAGTCAGGATGGCTGCTATCCAAAAGTCTACAAGCAATAAATGCTGGAGAGGGTGTGGAGAAAAGGGAACCCTCTTACACTGTTGGTGGGAATGCAAACTAGTACAGCCACTATGGAAAACAGTGTGGAGATTTCTTAAAAAGCTGGAAATAGAACTGCCATATGACCCAGCAATCCCACTTCTGGGCATACACACCAAGGAAACCAGATCTGAAAGAGACACGTGCACCCCAATGTTCATCGCAGCACTGTTTATAATAGCCAGGACATGGAAGCAACCTAGATGCCCATCAGCAGACGAATGGATGAGGAAGCTGTGGTACATATACACCATGGAATATTACTCAGCCATTAAAAAGAATTCATTTGAATCAGTTCTAATGAGATGGATGAAACTGGAGCCCATTATACAGAGTGAAGTAAGCCAGAAAGATAAAGACCATTACAGTATACTAACACATATATATGGAATTTAGAAAGATGGTAACGATAACCCTATATGCAAAACAGAAAAAGAGACTCAGATGTATAGAACAGACTTGTGGACTCTGGGAGAAGGCGAGGGTGGGATGTTT